TGCACAGCACCCGCCCCACACCACCTGCCCCACAGCACCCGCACAGCTCCCCCCGTCCTGTCCTCTACGGCCTGTGTGCCCCCCGCCCTCCCCGTGGGCTGCTCTGACCGCTCCCTCCGTCTGCTCATCAGCTTTCAGGCCCTCCTGCTCCAGTCCTCATAGCTCTCACACCCACCTCCAGACACCCCTGCAGGCTCTGCACTCGCCCATCCCCTCTTTGCCCGGAAAACAAGAGGGAAAGCCCAGTGCCTTTGTGTCTGTGGGTCTGTCTGTCTGTCTGTCCGTCCCCAGGGCTAACAAGCCTGTGTGGAGCCTGAACTGACTCTCCGCTCTCGAGAGCACGCCTCTGGGTTGCTGGCTTGTGCATGGCCTTTGCTTCCCACCTTCTGCCACGTTACTGTTCGGTGGACACGGTGTTGGCGTTGCTTTGGGACCTCCGGCTGTGTCAGTTGACTGCAGCTGATCATCCTTTGGGTGATGGCCAACTTGCCTTAGAAGCTGAAAAAGTCTCCTTAGACCTTTTATTTAAAGGTCAGCCACATTTTCCGTAAGATAAAAATACTCTCCTAAGCAGAGTGCTGCACTGTGAGTGAACATAGGCCTGAGATGCCGCTTTAAGAGCTAAAATGGGTCAGGCATCTGGCTGCTGGCCCTGTGCTGCCCCGCCTCAGGGGGAGGCCTCTTTACCACAGTGTCTGCTGCCAGTCCCAGCGGGGCAAGTGCTTGTCTCTGACCTTGAATAATCCTGGATCCTTTTATATTTGCCAGGTTCTTGCACGGCACCGAGAGGCTGCAGAGCTGTGAAAGCAAGGCGCCTTCCCTGTAGACTCCACCCGCCCCAGCGTTCTGCTCACTCTAGTTAGCAGCGGGGGAGTTTGGAAGGGGGGCTCTCTCCCAGGACTGTGGGTGTCGTTCCCTTCATGTGCCATGCGTTTCGCAGTCTGTATCCAAAGCACCGTGCAGGAATAAAGGACTGTGCTGAAGTCTGATCTGCTTGTCCCCTTCCCCCCGTGTCCCTGTCCTGAACTCACCTGCTTCCCCGCCCAGGACGCCTCTCTGCCCTGACCATGCAGGGCCCTTCTCTGCTTTTGTGTGTATTTTTATTGTTTTATTCTTTTATTGAGTCTTGTAACCTGGGAAGGGGCTCCTTTGCAAGGTCAGACTGGCCCCAGGTGTCCCCCCCTGTGGTGTCTGGATGCTTGTGGCCACCCGCAAGCTGGCCAGGGTCACTCCGGTGCCAGGCACGCTCAGGCGCCTGCCCATTGATTGTGATACCGTGTGAAACGTTCATGTTACTTTCCCTGAATGTGTGTTTAGTAACACCTTCCATTTGCACGTCCCTGATGCTGCTCTAAGTATGCCATGTGTACAGTGTTCCACTTACTGCTTCCAACAGCCCCCCTACTCCCACTCCCCACCCACACCCTCCACCCTCACCCGGCTTCCAGAGGAGACAGCTGGGAGTCGGAAAGGGCAGCTGCCCAGGTCAGACGTTGTAGTCGCAGGGCTTTGCCCGGAGGAAGGGAACAGCCCGGAGGAACTTGTGAAACAGTAGAGCTGAGGAGAGAGAGCCGGAGGGGGAAGAGAATGCGGGTGACGCCAGGAGAGGGACGGGCTGTGTCAGAAGGGCCAGTGGGGGAAGAGGAAGGCTGCTGGGTTTATTTTCAGAAGAGAGGGGTGTGCTGTGGGTCAGGGGCAGGGGAGAGCAGCTCGCTGACGGGTCGGGGCTAGGAAAGCCATGGGTGGACGGACAGTCACAAGGAAAAGGTTGGGACTTTTTAAAGAGAATATTCCTTCTGGATTTTCTAAGGAAGGAGGGCGTTCTCAGTTTGTACCTTGAGAGCCAGGTAGTCTTTGTTGTCCTTCATTAGGCTGCCCCATAGCAGGGCCAACGCTTTCTCTTAAATCAACAAACCCAATATAAGAGAAATCTATAAGTAAGGTTTAGCAGTGGTGCTCAACCTTCTGGCCCTTTAAATACAGTTTCTCACGTTGTGACCCAACCATAAAATTACTTTCGTGGCTGCTTCATAACTGTAATGTTGCTACTGTTCTGAATCCTAATGTAAATATCTGATCTGTGGGATGGTCTTAGGCGACCCCTGTGAAAGGGTCGTTCGACCGCCAGAGGGGTCACGACCCACAGGTTGAGAACCGCTGGTTTAAAGGAAGAGATGAGCAGGAAATACTCAGCTCTCACAGCTTTAAACATTAATATGGGAGGATGCCGTTTTGTTCTTCCTGAATAACCAGAAATAGAAGAGAAAGGCAGGACAAAAGCGGGGAAAGCAAAAATGCTGGGGAGAGTGGGAGGCCAGAGCCAAACCATTGCAGACCCCCAGGCCACTGCTGCTTGTTTAAACTGAGGTCCCCACAAACATCTGCTCAAAGTCAACGGCCCACCCGTCCCTGGACCAGAGTGACCTGTCAGAGATCACCTCTCACCTGGCCAAAGCCCATTGTCCACCCTACCTAGGACTGGCCTAGAGCGCCTCCCACCTCCCCCAGCCCCACCCCACCCCCAGCACTAACCAAGCCCTCGATGCCCATGGTCCTCCCAGAAACCTAGGCCAGGTATGAGGCAGATGCCCCCTTGTAAGGGGAGGATCTGTCATTTATGTCAAACCTAAAGGGGTCTCTACCCCCTAAAAGGATTGAAAGCCTAGTTCTGGTCTTGGTTGGATTGCAGCCAGCAGGGCACAGCTATGGGGGAGTCCCCACTCCAGCACGAGCACGCCCTCAGGGTGCCTGCGCTCAGGGGCCTTCGTCTCCCTCTGGGAGCACTCGGACGAGGATGCGAGGAGCAGGAAGCGGGCATGATGCCTGTGAATACCACACGTACAGGGCGTCCCCAAAAATGTATGCACGCTTTGAATCGTTGTTAATTCCAGTGGGTTAAATCGGAAAAGGATGAAGCATGGGAATCGATAACGATCCAAAGTGTGTTTACGTTTTGGGGGGACACCCTGTGTTTAGACCTCAGCTACTGTTTGGTGACTTCCACCTCTTAAGTACAAACCTTCAGATTTAAATGAGAGCCTTCAGGGACCATTGGGTTCTGGTTCAGTGCATCCTCTGCAGGCTTCAGGTTAGACTGATAAATTCGTTCTTCAAGATCTAGCTTCTTACCCACAAAATGGATGCAAGGCCGCCGCCTGGGCGGCAGGAGGTGGGTGTGCGTTGTTCAGCTGAAGCTCTCAGCACAAATGGTTCTTTCAAATCCCAATCGAGGCAGAGTTTTCACGGCTCTTGTTTAAATCAAAACTGCGTTTTTAAATAGCTGAATATAACTATAAGCTAGATGCAAATTAACAAGGTTTTAAAGACACCATGGTTCAGTTTGGTATCTTTCTCAAAATGTCTTCATCTTATCCCAAGGCTCAAATTCCAGTTCCTCCAAAGGCACCTGGAATGCCTTGCGTGGCCAGGCCCCGGCTCGCACGCCGGTCTCAGCCTCAGAGCTGCCGCGAGGGGCCTTGCGGAGGACAGTGTTTGCTGTAGCTCCCTCACGCCTTTCTCCCTTCAAGGGACACAGGTTCTTTTCTAGGAATGAAAACCCTCCATGCTGACTTATTTCCAGTTACCAGGTCGTGACTTTCTGTTCTCCTGAATAAGAGAGAATCACCTCTCATTAACATTACAGCTGAAGCTGCTGGCTGAGTGTTATCTGATTCTGAAATACAGTTCATCTCTAAAAATAGTCCCAACTACCCTGTGACTTGTGCAGCCATTTAGCATAAGGTTGCTTAGAAGTCTTTTTAAATAATGTTTAAATGATATTTAAACAGAGTTCCATGAAATGAATTAATAATTATACAGAGAACGCCTTTCATTTAACTTTTATTTAATATATTTTTGAAATTCTACTTTTCTGCTTTAACCGTTATAGAAAACATAACCAATTTATAAAGTGTAATTCATTGTCTTCATTCTTAATTTCCTAAGTTTACTCAAATCTTTTTTGGAATTTGGTGGAATAAAAGACCAAACAGCCAAATACTACTTATCAATTCTTATTATACAGTCTTATCGATCTGTAAGACTAGTGGCCTGGTGTACAGATTTGTGCACATTGAAAGGAAATTAGAAGAAACATTTTAATATCGCTATTCGCCCTTTCTCTATAGAAGTGTCAGAGATGAAAGAAAATTAGTAAAATGCATATGAAAATAATATATAAATTGATTAATAAGTAATAACATGATAGAAAAACAACTAAAACATGATATAAACACAACATTGATAAAAACAATGACTGGTAAATTGATTGAACTTATTCTAATATATCCCTGTACACCACATTAAGAGTAAAAACCCTTTCAGAGTGCTTGACTAATTTCCCTTGTGATGAAGTATTTATAACTTTAACGTCACATGCTCTTCGAACTCGAGAGAAAGCAACATATAACTGACCATGTCCAAAAACGGGTTCAGGTGGGAATATTCCTACTCTGTCTAGATTGGCGCCAGCGAGAGCTTTATATGTATCACGCATGCGTGAGTCACCGTTTCTTTTAAATTGCCAGTGCGCTTATATACATAGATTGGACTCAGGAGCTTCTCTGTCAGCTGTATGTTAATACAGTTCCTTTGCACTTGGACCTAATAGTTTTTCAGTGTATAATTTCTGATGCAATTCTCCATTTTTTATAGGCATGTTTTCCACAAGTCCTGCGTGGATCCCTGGCTTAGTGAACACTGTACCTGTCCTATGTGCAAACTGAACATTTTGAAGGCCCTGGGAATTGTGGTATGTTGCCTGTTTTGTGAAGTATCATCTCTCAGTGTAACTGAACAGCACAAGTGGACGGTTACCTCTCACGAGAAGACACTGGCTCCTTTGCCAGACGTGGTGTCCGGCCGCGCCTTTCTTCCAGCCCATCACGGGGAACTCCCACAGAGAAGGGCAGGCACTGTGCTGGCCCCCAAGGGCGCCTGTCGGGTGGTGGGCGTGTGGGGAAGAACTGGAAAAAGGAACAGAATGTAGATGGGCTTCATTCCAGTAGCAATTTTTCCTGCATTCAGCATAACATAAAACTGTGTCATCACTTCTGTTCCCTCCTCTTGAATTTGGCTTTGTTCTCCTGGGCGTTGGTAAGTGGCAGCAGCGAAGGTGGGCGGTGGCAGCCCCGGGCGAACCTTGACCCCCGCAGTGGCATTGGTCGGGGCACAAAGAGCACTTCAGCTCTGGCGGGGCGAGTGGGCGCTGAGCCGCCAGGACCTCCGAGACTTCCTACAGTTACAGTTCCTTCATTAAGAGAAGCATATATCCAGGATAATTGCTTTTTAGACCAAAAAAAAAAAAAAAATATTCTCTTGTCTCCAAAAAAAGAGTGAATGGATAATCTCCTTATGAGCGAAAAGTTGAGTTTGACCCAACAGACGAATCCCATCTCAGCTTGGCAACCCAGAGCAGGCCTCAGCGTTCCTGTTGGACATGCGCGCAGGTGACAGGTCAGGTGCAGCCCTAGGGACATTCCTCCCGTTCAGCCTGTCTTCAGAGCTCACTGGCGTAGTTGGACAGGGTTTTCAGCACCGTGGACGCTCGGACTGCCTCGCAGGGTCCCTGGCCTCGGCTAAAGGAGCATGGTCTCCTGGTCACACTATAGACACGTCTCCAGACATTGCCAAATGTCCCTTGAGGGACAAAGTCTCCCCCGTTTGTGGGGTGTAACATAGAGCTGCCATCGTGTCTGCATGTGGAAGACACTGGAAAATACTAACTTAGCCTTTTTTGTTGCCTCCAGCCTCCTTGGTGGATTTTTGTTTTGTTTTTAATCCAATTTCAGCTGCTAATACTTTTCCTCGGTTTTAATGAAAATCCTTGTAAAATGTATTACAAGTCACCATGGTTCCTTGTATGTAAAAAATAATAATAATAAACCTAACTGTCATTATAAGCACCAGTGATTACACAGTTGGGCTTTGGGCTGATGTAGAATGAAATTATTTTGCCTAGGAAGCTATTTGTGTTAGGTGTAGTTTGCTGTCTGTTTATAAGCTGCTCTCAGCCACCATTCCCAACCCTGCTTCTAACATGCTATCTGCTATCGGCTAAAAGGATGAAGGTTGCTAGGGAAACCAAACATCCATATTGTGAAATCAGAAGACTTGCATATCCACTTGTCAGTTGGTAAGCTTTGGCCCAAGGCAATTCTGTGCCTCTCCAGGATTAGACGCTGAGGTTTTGAAACCATTTTCTTACAGTTCAAAAGTCTTTTCAGCATTATCTGCTCTTGGTTTTAAGCTTTACTTGTGTTTAAAGAAGGAAGATATTTAAAAACCGACGACTAGATAAATGGGGCATTACAGAGAAGTTACTAGGATGAAGGGGTGTTGTATGTTATCTGCTGTCCTTGAGCATTGAACCGAAGTTACACCCTTGGTCAGCTTTATACTAAGACTAGAGGCCCAGTGCATGAATTCATGCATGGTGGGGGGGTGGGGGGAGTGGTGGTGGACTGTGGGCAGTGGTTGGCTGGCCACAGAGATTGGCTGTGGGAGCGCACTCACCACCAGGGGGCAGCTTCTGCGTTGAGCGTCTGCCCCCTGGTGGTCAGTGCATGTCATAGCAACTGGTCTTCATTCATAACAGTCACTTACACTTTCATATATATAGATGTGCTCTGCCTCTGAGCCACATCCACAAGGTTGTCATTTTTTTTATAAATGTGAAGTAATCCAGTTTTCTCAGTTCTGCAATGGATTTTGGTTTTCCTTAGTACCTTTTTTGGGAGGAATTACCTGTTTCTTTTTTTTTTTTACCTTTTTATTTTAAAGAAAACCTCTTGAGAAAAGGTAGATGGGAGAAAAATGAGAGGAAATCCTGTGGAAAAAACTTGGTGAAGTCATTTCAACACAGTGTCAAACCTTTAGAAATGGTTATTCTTACAAGTCCTTTCAATCTGGAAATATTTTGCAGCCAAATTTGCCCTGCACTGATAACGTAGTGCTCGACATGGAAAGGCTCACCAGGACCCAGGCCGTGAACCGGAGATCCGCCCTCGCTGACCTCGCCAGCGACAACGCCCTCGGCCTCGAGCCGCTTCGCACATCGGGGATCTCGCCTCTTCCCCAGGACGGGGAGCTCACGCCGAGGACGGGGGAGATCAACATTGCAGTGACAAGTAAGTGGGCCCTGTGCCCGGCGAGCAGCGGGTTTCTGCTGTCGTTTGCTGTGTTGACAGTCCGGAGGAGAGTTGAGTGAGTCACGGGGCAGTGACAGTCTGTAGCCGATGGGTACTTTTGTTAAAACCGCTGTTGGAGATAAGAAACTTGCTTTATGAAGGGAGCTTGTGTGTCTGGAATTAAATGACGAGCTGCCCTGACCAGTAGTTGTTCAGAGGTTTGTCTCAGTAGCTGTTTAAGAAACATGTTTTGAAATGATGTGATGCAGACAGGCGTTTCAGAAGGCCCTGCACATGGGGGAGGGTGTGACTGAGCGCTGGTTCCCAGGCTGCACAGCCTCCCGAGCAGCTAACCCAGAATGTGGACCTCACAGGTCACGACCTCAGGGTTAGCTGAGGTGGCCTCCGCTGCTCACTGTATCTCACACTTGGTGTGGAGTCTGGTGTTTGGCGCTCACCTCTTTGGTATAATTGTCCACCCGACGGGAGAAGCGCCAAAGGGGATCTGCCTTAAATGCCCTTGGGCTGGTTGTGAGCATCATCAATGCCGAACCATTGACAAAAGAGAAGCAACCCAGTGTTTGATGGCCAGACCTAAGTCCGTGTGAGTGGCTGGTGGGCGTGCCTGTGGCCTTGTGGACATTCACCTGTAGCCAGTCCACTGTGTCTTCAGTTCTGTTCTTTCCTTGTTATTTTCATCTAACAACTCGTCACCCCATCTCATCGCCACTCTGATGCTGTCTTTTCCAGAATGTGCTATTGCTTGCCTCTAGCTTCAAGCCCTAAACCTAATGAGACTCCGCTTAACTCAGAGTCAGTGCAATAGTAAAGCTGTTAAGAAGTATTTTCCCCTTCACATAGTAAGACTTGTGTGGACTGTTCAATTAACGTATGTATGTTTCTCAGCAACCAGAAGTTATTAGGAAATGATTTTCCAGGTTTTATTCTATCATTTGTCTAAACTCGAGGAGCCTTCATTCAGTTACACAATAAGTGAGACTAGTCTTCCATATGGTTTGACTCATTCCTGACCATTTCCAAGTGATTTATTTTAACAGCACTTCATATTTTTCTCTCTTCATATTTAGGTTTTATGCTCTAGATTTTTTTAATTGATCAAGCAGTAAAAAGTTGTTTGTTTGTTAATGAGTTTTTGTAGGCCCTTCATTGATCTACACTTATTGAGCACCTACTACAACATTAAGTACTGATTATTCCATTATATTTTATGTAGAAATGTCCTTTCAAAATCATCTATTTTGACGATAAAAGATACTACTTCATTCATCAAATTAATCACCGTGAGAAGAATTTATGCATGTTAATAAATAAAATTCATGTGGTTAAATCACGCCACAGCTGCCTCTATTTTCCCTCAAAACTCTGTAGCACCATAGCAACTACAGTGATTCAGACAGCGCCCACTGTGCGCAAGGCACTGTGCTAATACACCCTGGAGGTCAGAGGTGACGAGACCCTGGCTGCACACCCCTGAGCCCATCGGTATTGTTATGATATAGGTGTTTATTTCCTTTTGGTTACTAGCTTTATCACTGACAGCCCACACATAGATGGATGGTACACCCAGAAATCATTGAAGTTCTAGAAGTTAGTCTCCTTACCTTGTATAAAAGTCTCTAGGTAGAAAAAAATTAAAATGCTCTGTTACGCTTCTTGATACTGATGACCAATCATCTCTTAATTTTTTTAAATGCCATTATACATTTTTCCTAACTTAAAATATATGCGTGTAAAATGGTGTGTTTTGTATGGGTTCTTGAATGTTTATTTTGACTTAAAAAAAACTCATAAATTCACTCTAATGAGAAAGCGATAATCCAAGGAGCAGTGGCTGCATTATTATTTAAAAAGAATGACTTTGCCAAGTCTTTTAATAATATCAACCAAGGTGGGCAGAGAATTAAAGATCACCACTTTTAAAATCCAATGAAAGATCAACCAAAGGACTTGTATGCATGCATATAAGCCTAACCAATGGACATAAGACACTGGGGAATAGGGGAGGCTAGGGGACTGTCTAGGGCGGGGAAAAAAATGGACACATATGTAATACCCTTTGTAATAAAAAATAAAATTTGAAAAAAAAATAAATAAATAAATAAATACAGTTCCTCAAAAAAACTAAATAAATAAATAAATAAAATCCAATGAAAGTAGAATCACCTTCTTCTAGAAAATTCCTAGAATTGCACACACTGTTTTGCAAAGTTGTAGGATTCATGAAAACCAAATTAAGAAACACACAAGTTGCACACAGCTTTTGCGTATAAACAGCTGTCACTTCAAGCAGGAATCTCCTCTCTGCCTTAATGCAGGCATGTGGGAATTTTACTGTGTGACACTTTGGTAAGCCAGCCCTGGTCAGTGTACACTGTAGCAGACAGCGGAGAGTTCAGACTTTTAGGACGTCAGATTGGTTCTCAGGTTATTTTCAAGATTCTCAGTAAATATTGTATTTGGAAATTTGCAATACAGACTTTGGAAAATATAAACTGACTTCCTGGACCTACAGTGAGACTAGATAAGAATCCTTAGAGTTCTGTCTGCCAGAGGCTTTCAACTCCGTGATGGGCCAGGTGTCTTGTGAGTCACCTACCTTCTTCCTAAAGCTTGACAGAGCCAGACCAGCCAGGGCTGCTTCCAGCGCTGGGGCTGGGGAGGGCAGTCCTCGTTGGGAGACGCCAATAGCATGTGCTTTTTAAGTAAAGACTCTAAGTGACCCTCGCATAAGAGAAAAGAAGGTGGAAGTGAATGCCGCGGAGGGCCAGCTGCGGACTGCCCACGAGACCCTTGGGAGCCACCACTCCATGTTTCTAAGCCATTCTCCAAGAATGAATGACATAACCATGCAGACGGGACAGAATGAAGAAGGAAAGGTCTCACGTATGGCTAGTCCACTTTACTGTCACTTAATTGACAAGTGAAAAAATCGACATCCATGTGCAATTTTATGTACGTATTTTCACTACAGTTTTTGATGGCCACACTCCTCACAGACCTCAGGACCTGAACTGGAAGATATTTGGGCCACGCTTTCCTCTCTCCCTTGCAGCTTTCACCACTCCTTCCACTAACCTTCTCCAGTTAGTAGCTCTCTGGCACACCTCCTCCTGCTTCACTTCCTTGAGCCAGTCTGGGCTCACACCTCCGTTGACATCTGCGTCGTTGCTTTTGAGGGAAATGTTGACATCGATTTGACTTAAGCCTTCTCCCCAGAGTGATTTCCTCCCTTTCCTTTGTCAACAGAAGAATGGTTTATTATTGCCAGTTTTGGCCTCCTCAGTGCTCTCACACTCTGCTACATGATCATCAGAGCCACAGCTAGCTTGAATGCTAATGAGTAAGTAACAAATTGTTTTTTGGATTGCATGTGCCAGATCCCAGGAAAATATGTAGAGAAACTTTAATAAAGATGGTGAGAATTGGCTTTCGCCCGTTTCATACTGAGTCTGATGGGATCACACCTAGCACAACCATTTATTTCAGCAACAGTCCCTCAGATTGGGAGTTCACCTCGCTCAGCCACAATAGCTCACTTGAGAAAAGATCCAGGGCTTCTCCTTAGCCACACGTTTAGAGTGAATCAACCATGTGACGCTGATGCCACCGGAGCCGGTACAGCTGAGGATAAAGGCATTTGTGTCCTGGTCACTGACAGGAACAGCCCCTTTAAAGGCCACGTACCTGTCGGACGTGACCTGGAATCTATGCCCTGAGCTTTGGGTGGAGCACTGCACCCTGGCCGAAGGTCACAGAACAGGGACGTGGATGTTTAGCCTGCGGAAGAGGCAAAGATGCGATCAGGAAACAGGAGTGAAGGGAGGAGGAAGTAACTGTAAGTTGTATATCCAGAGGCAAAACAAGGACCAAAGAGTAGGTTACAGGAAGGCAGATGTCACCCCGGTGACAGGAAGACTATCTGTCGGAGGCTACTTGCCAGGGAGGTGGTTTGCTGTGGAGAACGGGGAGTGCTCAGGACTAGGGAGCTGGAGGTCACTTGTCAGGGCTGCTGTAGGTGAGGTTTTTTAGAGGATGGAACATTGGGTTAGATGGCTGTTCCCGTCCATTTTGATCCAGTGATTTTTCCAAGATTAGCTTTCCATAGGGTAAGATAGAAAACGGTTTTTGTTTTGTTTGGGCATTTACTGTAGGATAATGTTCAATCATTTACCAGTATTCAGGCAAACTAATTCAAGACAGGAGCACCCCTGGGACACTGCCCAAATCTATAATAATAAAAGCATAATATGCTAATTAGACCGGACAGCTGAACAACCTTCCAGACAACCTTCCAGACGAAACCTAGGCTGCGAGGGCTGAGGCAAGTCGCCGAGGCTGCGAGCGCCAAGCCCTTGCAGAATTTCATGCATTGGACCTCTAGTCTGAACGTAAATGGTACAGGTGGGATTCATGTGCTGCCCACGTTCAATTATGTCTGCCATTTCATAACCAACCAAGCTCATGTAATGGATTCAATTAAATGCTCATTGTTCAGCCGTAGAAACTATGGATAAGTAACCTCCAGCTCAGTGACATGATTCTATTACCTCTCACCTGATCTGTTGGCTGGATGCTTGTAGGCAGTGCCCTTGG